TGATTACTGTTTCTTTGACAATAATGAGTCAGCTTAGCTGTTTGGTGAGGTATCTGAAGGAAGAATTATGCTATGAACACATGGGAAAACATCTGGGTTTTGTTGCATAAGATGGTAGGAAGGTAAGGAAAGGACTAGCTATCACTAACTACTTGCTTCAAGTTTTCTGAGAAACAAATGAATGACCACCACATTTCTTGGTAGTTATAGCTTCAGAGCAGATAGATGTCTTTAGTTCTGGGTATTGTTGGTGCACACTTTTATCAAAGCTACAGTGGCCTCGTGCATTACTGTCTCTTGCACAGAAGTCTGTTTTCCAGACGCTGGGACATTGTATCTTCTCCTTAATAGAGTTAGTGATAAGTGAACCAGAATCTGTCGCATCTTTTCCTGGGTTGTGGATATGTCTAGACCTCATACTTGGCCAGAATCTTTCTTTTGGCTTCAGACATTAATTACCCTTCATCCAATTTTACAGTTATTGAGTGAGCTGATGGTGGTTAGTGAGAAATGACAATCTCCTGAATTTGTTGCCAAAATAATTGAATATTTACCAATGATGAGAAGACAATGTAACCAAGATAATATTAGTATCAACAGATAACATTTATCGAGCATTTTTGTAGTTAATATCACTGTTTTGAAAGCCTTAACCAAATCCCATAAGAAAACATTATTATTACTTTCCTTTTACAGATGAGGAAATTGAGGCAAAGATAAATAAGAGAGTGTCTGGCCCTTCGAAGGTTCACAGTTTAGATTGATAGTGAAATTAGTACACAAATGATTAACCGAATGCTTGTTAAAGTGTAAAGAGAGAAGATTGTCTGTTTGGTTTTGAGTTAATTTAAGGAGAAAGGGATTTCAAGCAAAGGACAATGAACAGAGACATAGGAACATAACAAGGTATGCTATCTATTTTTGACTATACGTACTTCATAGTGACTAGAGCATAGCATATGGTTGAGAGATTACATCAGCTAAGTCCCAAAAGATAAGCAGAAAATCTGAAGAAGCATTTTATGGAAAGAGTTTAAGATAAGGCATAAAAAGTGATGTCATAGGATGTGGAGAGCATTCAACAAGAAAAGCTTGGGGCTGCGGAGAGGGCTCAGAAGGTAAAGTACATGCTGCTCATGAATGAGGACCTGAGCTAGGATCCCCATTATCCATGTGAAAGTTTTGGTGGCCTTTATGTGTAACCCCAGCACTATGCAGTAGAGAGAGACAGAACCCAGCGACTTGCTGGCTAGCCAGTTTAACTGAAACAGTGACACCCAGTTTCACCAAGAGACCCTGTCTCAAAACAACAACAACAAAATAATGACAAGCAAGAGAAAAACAACCAAAGTCAACCTCTCACCATCATATCCTCCACATGGCAAGTACAGCATATACATCTATGTACATGTATGCAGCATGCATACACACCCATGGGGGGCGTCACCAACATTATCTAGGGTTCAGAGGGCAGGAGAACGTATGGGGCTAGGATGGGAAATGGTGGTTGTTCCGGGAGTGTTGGGTAATGCGATGGGATCAACTGAAACAGGAATAAACACGAAGCTGCCATCCACTGAGCACATAGAGACAGAGCCAAGCTGGTCAGACAAGACTGTGTACTATGTTTTAAAACCTTTGGTGTTAAGATATAAAAGTCCTTTACTATATATATATACACACAAATATATATGTGTATATCCATATATCTTTTCAAAATTATGTTTATTTATTTGTATATGGAGGCTTGCAGGCATCTTGCAGGAGGTGGCTCTCTTCTTCCACCATGTGGACTCCAGGGATCTATCTCAAGATGGTGAGGTTTGGCAGCAAGCACCTTTACGCACTGAGCAATCTCTACAGACTCAATATTATATACTCATTCATTTGGCCATTCATCTTCACAATTTTTAACCTAAAAGCATTAAGGGTGTGTGGTCTTAGCAGCCAGTACTTTACCAATATTCCCAAGATCCTTGTGGTTTTATTTTTCAAGCAGTTGCCTATACAGAAATCAATAAATGCTGAGCATGATAGTATATTCATGTAATCCCAGAACTGTGGTGATACATAATTTATGATTAATAAGATTGCCTGAGGTTTCAGGATGCAAAGCCAGCCACAAGCTACAGAAGTCAGGCAATGATGATACACAACTTTAATCTCAGCCGCAGTAGTAGCTAGCCATAGAGCTAGGCGGGGGTGGTACACACCTTTAGTCCCAGGACTCTAGAGACAGAGGCAGATGGATCTCTGTTAATTCAAGGCCACACTGAGCTGCATGAAATTGACCCAGAACAGCTCTCACAAAGGTGATTTCAACATTTGGAATCACATGCCTTTAATCCCAGCACTAGGGAGTTGGAGGCAAGAGTGATGACTGGGCAAAGAAAGGAATATAGGGCAAGAGGATACAGGAACTTGGAGCATTTTGCCTCTGAGGATTCATGGAAACAGGATCTGCCATTTTGGTCTAAGGTAAAGTTAAGAGCTAGGGGCTGGCTGTTTTGCTTCCCTGATCTTCATCTTGAATCTCGAACCCCAATATCTGTCTTTGGATCTTTATTTTTCATGCTACACAGCACTAGTGAGTTCAAGACCAGACTGAGTTACGCAAACTCAAACAAACAAAAGCAAACGAGTAATCAAATAGTTTCATGTATATATGCATATCATGTGGTGTGCAGAATTTCTAAGTGTATTTGATATAGTTAGTAGCCATTATATTATAGAATGCTCATAATACTTGGTGGGGTTTTGTTCATGAGGAATACATGGGTTGCTGCCTCTTTAAAAAAACTTGTTGTTTTTAATAAAACTATTGCACAGGGCATTATTAAGGCTTTTAGTGCTTTTGCATTTTATAAAACATAAATATTCCCTTAAAGAAAAACTCAAACATTGTATTATTATTATAAGTTTTTTCCATTATTAATTAACTCTTGAAAATTATTTCATAAAGAACACATTATGTGTTTTCACAGAAAGAAGTCAGAAATAACCCTATTCTCAATTGCTCATGGTGTCCTGAAGATATAGAAATAATAATAGAATTAAATTAAATATCAAGTTATAAGTAGATAAATATTTCTGGCTTCAAATGAAGTTCAAACTAGTTAAGCTGGAACAATATATGTGTGAATATATAATGTTCAGGGCCAGACTAGTGGGTATGAGTGCGAACAGGAAGAACTGAGTTCTGATCCTAGCATCCACTTTTAAGAAGCGAAACAACCAAACCGTTGGGCGTGGCTTCTTGTGAGTCTGTAAAGCCAGCATTGTTGAGGCAAGTAGCATTACTGGAGCTTGCTGGCTGCCAACCTAGCTCATAGTTCAGTGAGAAACTCTGCCTAAAATGAACGAGGCAACGAGTGAGAGAATGAGATACCCAACACCCTCTCTTGTCTTCATGTGCCCACCTCCACACATTCATGCACAGACACCACATTCACACTCATACCACCAAATGATGTAAATTATATTGCTTATGAATGTGCATGTCTACATCATAAATACATATGTAGTACAACTAATTCTTTATATGCCTGAGTGTGTTTATTTAGAAATCAGCAATGCCCACTTGAACATAGGAACATCTGAGGGCAACTAAAACAACAAGAAGTCACAGAAACAGTCACAATCCAAGCATCATATTTGAGATTCAGGAAACAGTAGAGAAGAGCAAAGTAGTTTCCATTGACACCTAGCATATTCTCATTTAATGCTTAAAGACAGATGAGGGAAGCAATCACACTTCTCCTCTGTTAACTTTTTAACACTCTCCTTGTTGTGTTTGACAAAGTGATATTTCCAAAAGGTTCTAAAATGGTCTCTGACTTGGTCTTATGGTGAGAGAGTAGACACTCTGAAGGACTGTGGTCTCTCTTACAGCTATTTTCACTTGTAAGCTATTTACAGCTTGCATTTCTAATTACACGTGTAATATCTGTTCCCCACAAAGAAGTTCCTTGAAGACAATGTCTTTGTTAGCTGGTTAGTTTTGTTTTGTTTTAAATTTTTTATTCTTTAGTATTGGGTATGGACTCTGGCATAGGCGAGACAAGTATCTAACTGACACTGGTTTTGTATCAGAGAATTAGAAGTTACTCTTCTAGGATCATTGTGTGGCATGGGTCATGATGGCATGACTACCAAGATATATGAACTCTAGTCTGTTGTTCATAGTTGTTAATCAATGTGTGGTGGTAACAATAAATCACCTGGGGTAATCAACTGGCAATAGCCAATCTAATTCCTTTTATTGCTCAGAAATAAAATGAACAGAGAGTCCTTCACAGCATTGAACTCTCCCCTGTCCATTAATAGGACGCTCAGTAGTGAGGAAAGGTCCTTGTAACCCATGCTAATAAAACTGTGCTACCATGATTGCAGAATTACTGTTTCATCACGATATCTAAAGTGTTACGGTCCCAGGGCTGATGAAAAAGACCAAGTGGTTCCATGAAGAAACAAAAAGCACAAATAAAAATTTAGTCTGATGAATAAAGTCTTGAAAGAGTCTATGAAATGAAGGTTCAGGGCTATCAGGGTAATCTTGAGTTTGAGCTGAAATTTTAGAATCTGTCACCACTTGTCACCCTTCAGTAGCTGAATTTATCTTTCAATTTACTAATATTAAAAATAGGAAAAGCTTGCTTTAATCACACTGAATCCAGAGACTTATCAACACTTTGAAATCTGAAAATATCTTATTGTCAATGTTTATTAATTTTCTGACAGATTTGTCCTTAACTATAAGTAAAAGAAATAATAATTTATTAATTTTGAGACAAACCCTTACTTTGAAGCCCAGGCTCTCCCAGCCTCCTAGCCATTCTATTAGCCTCTCAAGTGACACAGTTACTGGTGTGAACTTCCACACTCACCAGTGTGAACTCCACACTCAGCTAAACATAGTGGTTTGAATCTTGGCATTTGCTGATGTAAAACATATGTGTGCTAAGCTGCTATATCACAGATATATCTACTTTTGTTTCCAGGAAACTATGAATGCCCCTTTTTCCTCTGGGGACTTCTAGCCTTCTTGGGCTTGGCTCTGGTTATATCGGTGATCTTCAATATTTCCCACTATGTAGAGAAGCGGCGACGAGGTAAGACCTGGCAAATTGTTGTATGGTACCTGCTTGAATGCAGACTGTGGTGTCACTGGAAAAAAAAAACTCTGAAGTAGACACTGCTATGAAACATCATTAACAGCGTTTTGTAACCACAGGAAATCCATATGGTATTTTTTCACCCTGAGGGCTCTCTTTAAGAATGAAATAGCATTGGAGATGTGAGAAGAAGCTAACGAACTTAGCTTTATCTCTGTCTCATGACAGCTGGGAGGAATTAGCCTGGTAAGCAGGCTTTTCTAAATGAGCGAATCAGGAAATGGCGATCATGAGGCAGTCACAAAAGTGAAGAGTTGCTCCTCAAGGCTCTACTGAAGTTGTTCAGTCCTCCTAGGCTCTGGCCATGGGTCTCAGCACTGACTGGAAAAGCCACAAACTGAACCTGGGCCTGTTCCTACACAGCAGGTTTGAAAACAGATCAGTGGGCCCGTCACTACCACTATTAGCTTTGCCCAGGTGGCAGATGTCTGTTCCACTATGTTCATAGCAGCTTTATTTGTAATAGCCAGAACTTGGAAGCAACCTAGATGTCCCTCAACCGAAGAGTGGATAGAGAAAATGTGGTACATCTACACAATGGAGTACTATTCAGCAGAAAAAAGTAATGGAATCCTGAGATTCGCAGGCAAATGGATGACACTAGAAGAAACCATCCTGAGTGAGGTAACCCAGTCACAAAAATAGAAACATGGCATGTACTCTCTCATATATGGATTTTAGACATAGATCTGGGGAGTGCCAGCCTACAATCCTATGGCCAGAGAGTCTGGGAAACAGAAACTTCATTTAGCGGCTGATCGAAGAAGAGGCAGACTCCCTTGGTTAAGTACTGAGGTGAACTCAAGAAAGCCAGTAACAGAGAGGGAGGACTGATGATCAAAGGGATTAAGACTGGGCAGGTTTAACCCCCCAGAAACAGCTGACCAGACAAAGGTTAACTCTTGAATCCCAGGCATCAGCCTGGGAATCCAGCATGGGACTGATCAAGACCCCCTGAATCTGGGTGTCAGTGAGGAGGCCTAGGTAATCTATTGAGCCTTGGGCAGCAGATCAGTACCCATCCCAAGTATACACACGGACTTTGGACTCCCATAGAACAATGTGACGTGCACTCTCACCCTGAACTCTTGGGGAAGGGTCTAGGCCCTGCCCTATGTGAAATGACAGACTATGGACACCCCCATGGAGGGCCTCACCCTCCCTGGGAGAATGAGGGGATAACAGGGGGGGGTTGGGGGGAGGGCACGGGAGGAGGGGAGGGAAAGGGAGAGGGACCTGGAACTGACTTGTGAAGCAACCTTGTTTCTTATCTAAATTTAAACCGGAAAATGAAAAATAAAATAAAATGGTATAATGTACACAACCTCCACACAGTAGGCATCTGGCACATGCGCACTGAATACTTAGATCAGCGCCCAATAGACCCAAAGCGCAACTATTCTGGGAGGTGCCTTAATATTCTAAGGACCGAGAAACTTCAGCTCGAGTTATAAGTGGTCAGGAAAGATGTTTTGGAACAAAGGATAAAAGTACTTTCTCCAAACTCATGAAAAGAGCTAAAACTAAGTTAGCAAGCTGGGGTAAAACAGAGAGCATATGTCTAAGAAAACCTGCACGAAGCTAATGCAAACACTGATCAAATTGTAGTCCGTGTCCTTGATCCACTTAGGAGAAGCTTCCCAAGTGTTTCTAATGCAGCATAAAGAGTGGAGAAGTCGTTGTCATGCAGATTTTAAAAACTGAGAGGTACTTGAGAATGAGTGACATATCTGAGGTCACATAGCTATCCAATATCAAAATCGTGCCTGAGCATCCAAGGTGGACATAACACTAGCTTTTCAGATCTCAGTGTGAACAGCTTTTATAATTTTCACCTTTGGGGCTTTGTGCATTAGATTTTATTTTCCCATATCCATATCATTTTCCATCAAACAAACAAGCAATCCCATTGCATTTAGTTTTGCATGTAGGTTTGATTTTCTTTTCAGTTATACAAGCCATAATTGCCTCAGCCTTACCATAAATTGTTCTATTTTTTTGTCCTTAAAGGAGAATTTTTTTATTTTTTAAAATAGTGTTGTGGAGAAAAAAATGAAAATAGGAAGTAATAAATTGAATGCATGATGTCTTTCCTTTGATTAATGCCAGCCATCGATTTTTAACAGCATAACTTCTAAAGCAAATCAAATCTGATGTGAATTAAAATTCACTCTGATTTTAGATTTCAGTTGACAGATTTTGCACAAGTAGCAACTTCTCTGATTCTCGGTTTCCTTTTTGCAGCAATGGAAAACACCATGCAGACCATAAAGGTCTTGTGAGGGAAAAAAAACCCTGCATATACCTTAACACAGGGTTGGGACTTTGCAGGTTGATTGTGTATCTGATATAGTCCACATCACAAACCAAATCCACAAACAAATGTGGACCTGGCATTTCTTGCCCTCTTTCCACAGTAATCACTTCCTTTTTTTCCATGGTAACCACCAAGGGCCTGTGGACCACATCACTTCACTTAGCTTTAGTATGTCACTTCTGTAGGCATCAGTTCCCAGCCTCTATGCTGCTCTAGCCATGTTCATGCCCTGGAGATCCTCTGTAGCTCCTAGCTAACATCCTGTCCCCATACTTATATTATTTATGAAGTTAACAATATCCAGGTCTTTAGCAGTCACTGCTGTGTTCCTGCAAGTCACATTCAACTCCATTTCAGTGGGTGTTTTGAGTCTTTGGTGAGATTGGTTTCAGACATCAGTGGATTTCAGGTCATTTGATTTGATATGCATTTCTTAGGTGGAGCACCCTGTATAGATTGTTGTGCAAACGTAAGATGACTAGCCTTAACAGCAGCTTCACCGGCACTGTACAAGTGCCAGATGGTCTCATTCACCTTTCTGACGGCCCAGCCGCTCCCCACAGCTTTCCTCAAGTGTGAATATTTACCCTGCCATCTTTTCCAATTCACAGGAACAAATACTAACAAATTTTGTCTCAGAGATTCTAGACAGTTGGACCTGTCTCTCTAAGCACTCAGTTCCTCCCTAATGCTGAAGACTTGGGCTTGCTCTATTTCTTCAGCAAGATGGGTTTAGTGATTTTCTCACATCAGCCAGTTTTCTCCATGTGGTCTGTAACTGTAATACTTCTGCTATTGGCCTCGTGTCACTTTTATGTTAGCATCTTTGTGCTACTCTTTGTGGCTGAGAAACTTGCACAATATGACTCCTACTTGGCCAACAGTCATTGAAGCAACTTGGGGGTGTATTAAATAGCTTACAAAAGGAACTCTCCTTCCAGAGACAGCATAATATCTATATATTCAATCAGATAGACAAGAAAAGCCTTGTCTTCATGCTTTATGTGGCAGCTAGCTGGAAGCCTTGAAAATGAGTCCTTTATCTGCTTTCAAAAATAAGTCTTTATTCAGTGCATTGTCCAAATCTTTAGGAGGAGTGCACTCATTTCTTTTCCTAATAATGTATTTTCTTCTTTCATTAAACCCAAAGACTATTTGGGTTATTTATTCAACTCTTCCTCTTTGATTTGAGAAGAATAAACAAGCATGTGATTTGTGTGTGTATCAGTCCTATCAGTGAAGCTTCTTTTCACTGGCATGCTTTTGACTGAAATGAATCAAAAGGAAGAATTCAGTGTTCGCATTTCAGCCGTGTGCTGCTGTTTCTTGCCATAACAGAGTGTGCAAAGAGGAGTGGACACTGTAAAAGGAAAACATAAAAGCAAATGTCTTTGCATCATAGCCTGCCACATACACACCAACCACAAGCCTTGCATCTGCATCACAGGGGAGGGTGGGGAACCTCACCCGCTCTTCTTGATCGTGATCTTGCACACTTTGCTGCTCTGCAGCAGAGCAGTTTTCAGTCTGGCCACACAGCGCTGAGATGACTAGGCAACATTTAAATCATGCCGTTTATTCATATATAAACTTCTGAGCCTCTGGGACAGAGAAGGTCTTTGCAGGAGCCTGAGCTTGCTACCCTTGATGTAAGAGATAATTGGCTATTAACCTACTTAGGAAGAACTGATAAACTAAAATTACCCAAGCAGTGATAGGCTAGCTAGCATCCAAATACACATTGATTTTCTAAGGCCAGAGCAGCATGTAGTGCCCTTGGACTTTTAAAGTCTGCTTTCACAGTGTTTCTCTGCACTGCATTTCTTCTGATGTATAATGTCCTTTATGCATTTATTTTGTTTTGCTATTTTATTTTGTTTTTACCACCTCTTTCATTCTATTTAAGGACCCCATGCTATTATATAATATCTTGTACATAATTGCTTTTATTCAACTTTTCTCACAAAACTTTATAGTGTTTTTTTTCTTTTTTATTCTAGGGATGAAACATCCAACAGTTACTCTTTCAAACATTACATGAGTATATTTTCCAGGCATTCATGTTACAATTGCTTTTACCTGAAAGTCCTTATCTTATAATCTCATAAAAAATATTTGTCAGTTTGAGAAAATATTTTATGAGACACATAATTTCCTTATTCTTATTGCTAAATTATATTCTTTTTAGTCTTAGTGTAATTTTGATAACAGGTTTCATATATCTCAAGATTGCCTCAAACTCACTATATAGTAGAGGATGACCTTGAACTTCTCTTTCTCCTATCTTGACCTACAAAATGCTGGGATTGGAGACATGCACCACCAAGACCAGTTCATATGGTGCTGGGGATCTAACTGAGGGCTTTGTGTATGCTAGACAAGCACTCTGTCAATGGAGCTACATAGCCAAATAGTCTTTATTTTTTTTAGTTTTTAAAAGATATTCTTCATTTTTATTCTCAAATTATTATAATCAAAAATGTTCAACAGGTGGCAAAATCCCCAGTGTAATGGTGAAATTTCAGTGATTTCTTTCTAAGTCAAACTTTACTTATATTCTATTTTTCACTTTATTAACTGAACAATATGCCTATTTCCAGTTAACTCATTTATGAGGAAACTTTCTAATTCAATGAGTACAAATTGTGGCTTATCTGATAAGGATTTAGACCATATGATACTGCTAAGTAGCTTTGCCATTTTATAAAATATCTCGACATTATTTTAATCATTTTCCATATCTACTCCATGATGCTGGGTTTTTCTGATAAGCATAGCTTTAGAATAGTTTTCATACTGTCACATAGCAAGTGCCCTGCAGAGCTGGTACCAAATCCAACATTAGCTAATTCCCAACCTCATATGTTCCGTGAGACATCATCCTAGAGTTTATATTCTTATAGATGTACTTAAATTCTAAGTGCATTAGTTACTTTTCTTTTGCTGTGATAAAGCATAATTATCAGAAAACTTCTGAAAGAAGGAGTTGGGCTTATGGTTCCAGAGGAATACAGGTCTATCATGATAGGAGACATGGGGCATGGCAGGACAAGAGTCAAGCACAAGCACACGCACAAAGCAGAGAGAGAGAGAGAGAGAGAGAGAGAGAGAGAGAGAGAGAGAGAGAGAGAGAGAGAGAGAGAGAGAGAGAGAGAGAACTGGAAACTGGAAGCAGATAACGGTTATTAACTCTCAAAGCCCATTCCCAGTGCCATACTTCCTCCAGAGATGCTACAAACTTCCTCAAACAGCATGACCAGCTGGAGACCAAGAGGTCAAAGTCCAAGACTTTGGGGGACATTCCTCATTCAAAGAATGACACCAAGCAAATCTTAAAAGCACCCAATAATCTGAGTATATGTGGTTCCTTTTTCTATATATAGATATAAATGCATACCATATCATGCTTATTCCACTTTATTGTTTTCTGACCTTGCTTTACTCTTATGTTATTTTTTTCATGTTTTCTGATTTTGTCGCACTTTAAGGTGACTACTGTGATGTATCTTTTTTGACCCTTCCAGGCTCCCTCCAGGGTTCATCAGAATTCATATTCAAAAGAGTAATCTGGAAGCAGCTGAAAGTAACTTCATATTAGATACAGTTTCATGGTAGAGCATTTCCTAAAGGCTAGAACAACTGTATTTCTGACATCCCAAATTAATTACTTCCATCATTTTGGGTTCTGTGGCAGCTTAAGACATCTTCTGTAAGAACATCAGAATTCCTCCTCAGTCACCGACATGTCCATTTCCTTCACTAATATGATCACTTGCATAAATAATTCTGTTAATTGTTGTGTAATAGTTAGCAACCTCTCTAGTGTTCATCTACACTATCATATGTTTACCTAAAATAACTCTCCCAGTTGTTTGGTGATTAACTCAAGTATTTTAAATGGTTCCAGCTAGTTCTTTCCCAGGTCACAGTGCTTTCCATATATTAAAGTTTTGAGGCCCTTTAGCTTCTGATGTCAGAAACTGAGATGACACTAGTATATTTTTACCGAATAACTTCAGCAAAAGTTCTGTTTTATTCTATGCCTCTTTAATAGTAAGAAATTCAAATATGATAAATGTCATCTTATATGCATCCTTCTAGTTTAGTATATAAATCATTGATGAATAGGCAATAAATTTTCTAAAATAAAGTTGATATTAAGCATCAAAACTGTATCCTGAATAATTCTAAATCTATTAGTTTCAATAACAGTATGAATCTCTTACTTTCATAAAGCATTCCTCAAAAACTACATTTCCCAATTTCTTTTAAATAAACAGATGCATTTAGCGAATTATTTACCTTTGAGCTACCACCTTCAAGATTATTTTGAGCTATTATTTTTTTGTTGTTACAAAAGCCTGTTAGAACCAACATGACCAAAAACAGAAGTAACAGAAAAACACAGACATGTTAGTGGAATTCAATAGAAAAAAAACTATGTTCATGTTTCACCAGAAATGAGGGGGACAGGAAGAGAAGTCCCAGATTTTTCTCATTGTTTTCTATGCACAAAATAGTCATGCATCTAGTTCAATATTATGCCTAAGTTGTCTGATTTTTCATCTCAAATTAGATTATCTCAAAAAGGAAGATGTCTTTATCCATTAGATTACTACAAGACACCAAAGGTAGCTAACTCTATAACAGAGAATTTTCTTTAGCTTATAGTTCTAGGAAGTTCAAAGTCTGAACATCTATAGCATAGGCTCTACCACTGACTATGTCACCTCTTATTAGATAGAAAAGGCCTGGGTATATGTTAGAGTAACTGATCACATCTCCAGTCGGGAGATGGAGGGGAACAGTCAGTTTTGTTCCTATTATGATGATCTTCCTAGATGATTACCAAGCAGTTACATGAGAATGAGGTTAATCCCTTCTGACAACAACATTCTAGGTGATGATAGGGTTATCCCTTAAAGTCCACTTTTAAAAGTCCCAGTGACTCCATGATACTGCCATCCTAAGGAGTAAACACTAGCACAGGGACCTCTTGGGTACCCTCAAATCACCTCCAAATCATATCTTTCCCAGTTCAATTAGTAGGAACCATTGTGTCTTGACAAAATTTGTTAAATTATGCCAAGGTTTTGCTCCCCTCAGAAGACTTCATGAAATATTTTTAAATGTTTTAAATATTTTAAATGTGTAAGCAATTCTTTTAATTTGTATATTTTTAATATTTTTCAGATAAAATGATGTACAGATACCCTGATGACTACATTCCAAGGTATGTTAAAATGAATAATGCAATATGACTTCCAACTAATATGAAAAGTAACAAATACTATATTGCTTATGGATTTGCCTCTGAAATGTTACCACTTGATCTGAAAGAAATTGAAAAGTAAATTATAATTGCTTTACTCTCATCTGCAAATTAGGAGCCATAATATTATCATCCAGTTATTAATACATCAAATCAATCAAAGAGCTGAGCAAGGAGTAAAAGAGAGTCTAACCTGACATCTAAAAAACTCTCATTAATATCTGATACAGATATCTATATCACAACTAAGATGAAACTTTTAGAGTACAGTCTAATTTTATATAGGATTTTATGACACTTCAGAATATAGAGTAGAAGGAAATCTATAAAACACCATAGGACTTAGGATAAGTTACAAGGCCAGGTGGTCCATGCCAGTAAAACCAGCAATGGAGAGGGCAAGACAGAAAAGAATACAAGTTTATGGCCAGCCTTGGCTACATAGTGAACTTTGAGTCCACCTGGGATATATGGGGACTTTGTCTCAAAAAGCAAACAAAACAAATAGAAAAAATACAGGCACTCCCCCACCCCCCACACACACTTGGTTAGTGGCTTGTTATTTCTAAAGATGATTTCAATCGATAGTGAAATATGATGAATTTATACTCTAAAATAATACTTAAATTCATATCTTTAATACTTCCTGGCTTAGTTATAGAGAAAGTGTATAGCATATATTTTTTAATTTTTTGTTTTGAGAAAGGGTCTCTCTGAATGTCTTGAAACTCAGTATGTTGACCAAACTAGCTTCAGATTCATAGAGATCCTCCTGCCTCTGCCTCTCAAGTACTTGAATTAAAGATGTGTGCCACCATACCCAGTTTGTACAATATATGTTTTCCTTTTTTGTAATTTAAATTAGAAACAAGCTTCTTTTACATGTCAATCCCAGTTCCCTCTCCCTCTCCTCCCCTATCCCCCACAAACTCCCTATCCCATCCCCTTTCTGCTCCCCAGGGAGGGTGAGGCGTTCCATGGGGGATCTTCAAAGTCTGTTATATCATTTGAAGCAGGAGCCTAGACTCTCCCAGGTGTATCTAGGCTGAGAGAGTATCCCTCTATGGCTCCCAAAGTCCATTCATGTACTAAAAGAAAGTCTAAAGCATGAATCATAGTAATGAAATTTCATTTTTCTAAATAGCATATTATAACCCAAATGTATCATTATATTTGATATTCCATTTTAGGAATAAACATCCAAATAAGGAGCATTTCCTGTAGGGTTCTTCAAATCTTCCAAAATGGTGGACTGAGAAATATTTGGATGAACTTTGTAACTGGATGGGCAGGGCAAGACAGGCTCTTGGACTCTTAGAGGACTTCTGATAATAATTTCTGCTCTATTTAAAAATGTCTCTTACAAATCCAAGCTACAGTTGCACATAGATTCTCAGCATACAAATTTTTGTGACTATTCTTCATACTGGAATCTTCAGTGTGAGATAATTTCAGGCCATCAAGAATGACTTGCTAACAACAAACAAGAGAACACTCATCTCTTTTCTGATTAACTTGATTCTTGACATTTGAAGGGCAATTAAGATACGACGTGCCAGGTGTAGTGGTGGCATTAATCTGTATTCCTAGCACTAGGAAGGCAAGACAGGAAAGTCTATTCTGAGCTTCTGGCTAGCGTGGGTTGCATAAAGAGAGCCTATCTTAAAATTAAAAAAAAGATAAAAAAACAACAAAAAGATACAGTGCTTTAAAAAGTTTTTCAATTTTATTGTTTAGATAAAGACTAAGTTGGTGGTTTTGGAATTGCCATGAGAAAAGTTGAAAAGGAAAATTGGTACAATACACATCTCAAAGTAAATAAGCTTTTGTCTATACTATAGATATGGGAATAAGGCTGGTTCTTATGTAATATTCATTCATCTAGCAAATAATCCCTCAAGAATAAGTACTACACTAGAAAATTATAAAGTAAGAGCACTGATTCTCAAAGAGTAAACTTGCCCTATGTGAAGGAAAACAAAGACCATCATCAATGCCAACCATCAGATATAGGAGTTTAAATGCTTTGCATCTTGAGCTCACCTTTCTATCTGCTGTGTCTAGTGAGGAAGACACTAATGCACACAATGTGTTGCATGGAAAGTTTATAATTTACAATTATGCAGTGAGTAACAAAGAGACCTCACATTCATCATGAATTGTTTCTGAGGCTAGGACAGATGCTGCCTGGATGTGCCTGGGGCACAGCATCTCACTTGCATGTGTCTTACTTGCATTGTAAGTGAGCAAAATCAGAAATCAGCCAGCATTGGCTTTTGTACCCCAGAGACAAAGTGACAGCTAAATCTGTTAAAGCTCCTGTCTCTATGGAGACCGGAGCCAAGCCTGGGCTTTTCCAACCAGTTCTTCATCTGATGGTGTTGCATCCACTATTTAATACTCTGGTTACCCTTGAGCATTACAAATGAGACAGGGATGTTCCAAAGTTACCTGGAGAACAGTCTTCCAAAAATAAAACTACAAAATGGAAAGGCATAATCTTTTCCTCAAAGATTTAATCATCTATTGCCTGATAATAAATGCCTTAAATACCTATTGTCTATTGTAATAATTCCCCATTTAGGCACAAATTGAATATACAATGCAGATGCTACCTACAGAAACTACCTTAATTCCTAAACTTTTGAACATATAACTAGTCCACTTTGCTTGATTGTGTGGATTGAAGATCAAAAAACTTTGCAAGAGACATTGAGACTCAGAAAAACAAAATTACCATTATCTTCACTCACTAAAATGTAAAAACATCAACAGAAAACAAGTAGAAACCAGTTTCTTTGAGGTGGGGCTAGAATTACCGAAGCTTCTTCAGTCTTTTCACTCTACCTGGCTCCGCAGCATCTGCTAAGCTGGGAAGGTAAGCTAGAGGGAAAGAAATTTCTTCTCTGCTCTTCCTGCTTGCCCAAGCCCCTGCTCTTTCTGTACCAGATGATCAGAAATATGTTCAATCCAAAGACAGCATAACATCTGAATTTACAGGTCAGAAAATGAAATTCACGCACCATGTTATTTATTCTTGGACTGCCTCATTTTTTCTTGAAATAAATTATATATAATCCTTACGTCTTTCCTCTTTGTGTAAGGAAGCTGCATGGTGGATGTATTATTGGTCTGAGATCCAAAGAATTCTGAAACTTAGTGGGAATTCCATTTGCACCCTTGGGGAAAATATTCAGCATCTGTAAACTTCAGGTTTAGCATCTAAAAAATATGGTGATATTTTTACTTTCAAGGGTAATGGATAAAACCTCTGATACTGTTGGATTACGTGGTTTACATGCTTCTTCTGGATCAGGGCTTTCTCTTTGGGGTCCTCCCTCTCCCACTCCAGGATATTAATGCCTGTCTCACAGTTCGGCACAGTTCAGCAATCACACATTCAGGAACACCCATAGCATCTTGCTCTTTCTCTTCTGCTTCACTTTTCTATCTGCTTCACTTGTATCCTTGCCTTAATCCATAAGTAGACTGTATTGCCCATGCTTTAAAAAATTACAAATGAGAAATGCTGGCCTGATGCTACATAGCTGCTTGTCTACTATACACCTTTTACAGCTGTGCTCTGATCATATTTGCTGGCTTCCCCTTCTCTTTGGAAGTCTTGAATCTATGTCATTCAGTCTTTGGGTCTCCAATTCACTGAATCAGCCCCTGCCAAGGTGACCAATGAATTTCATAGGATCAGTCTTAATTTTGTTTTGCTGGCCTATCTGTAGAGCCCTGGGGACCCTGGCATTTCCTACTTGAAATGCTCATTTTTCTGGCTCTGAGTCACCAAGAGACCCTTTTGGTTTTGCTTTCTGTAGTGGTTTGAATAGGAATGCCCCTCCCCACAGACTCCAGTGTTTGAATGTTTGACCCATAGGGAGTGGCACTATTAGGAGGTGTGGCCTTGTTGGAATAGGCGTGGACTTGTTTGAAGAAATGTGTCGCTGCGGGAGTTAGTCCATTATCACCATAACAGGACATGGTAGTGTGCAGACAGATATGGTGCTGGAGAAAAAGCTGAGAATTCTACACCTGGATCCACAGACAGAAGAATGAGACTGCCACACTAGGCCTAGCTGGAGTATAGACGACCTCAAATGTACCTAATGGCTAGAGTCCCTCTTTAGACATGCCCACACTGAGAGTCTGACTTGACCCCAAACTCAGGGTATATTATTCTCTCAGTTATGAACTCAGTTATTAATTTTTAAAAAGCAATCACTGTATGAGTTGGGTATGTAACTCAGAGGAAGGATACCTACTTAGCATGCACAAGACCTGACATTTGATTCTAAGCATTGCAGAAGAAAAAAAGCAGCAATTATTGTAATCTTCCACATAAAACATTGCCAAACATTGATTGTTGATGTTTATTACATGTCTGCAATAAGCTTCAGCTATTTGGCATTGCTAAGTAAAAACACGTTTTTTAATTTGTTCGTTAAGCAGCTGCTTCTGAATAATAGTTTATTTGAGGTGATTAATCACTTGAGACCAGCCTGAAGACATGGGCACTGCATTATAAATCACATCTTATTTTCATTCATAGGGAATAGAGTGATATTCATTTTTGGACATGATTTATCATTTGCAGGCTGTATCTGCTATCTCTATGGGCTAGGAAAATGGATGGCTCATCTTATTAAAAGTCTTCAACTTTTGCTATAATATTTTCTGCATATTCAGAGGAAAGCTAGAATCAAGACCATTGGCTCCAGTACTAAGGTGTACTCGATGGAAGGTATATTGTAGCTGAGTTCTTTCACTATCAGATAAGTGAAATGTGGGCTTTTCAAACCATTTTGTAGGGCCACATTTTGAATTGTTGTTTAAGGAGACCTATTTAGTATTTATATATACTCTGTCTTCTTTAAAAAGTATGGGAAGCGCTATTGGTGTCATGCCTTGGGATGACTCCCTTTTTCTTTGGTTATAATTCCTTACAGCTCTCTGTGACATGTAATCTCAAAGTGAAAGCAGTTGGTTCTATTTCATAAAATTTTATTTACCAAGTGATATGTTCCTCTGTCCCTACCCTGCCAATGTAAAATTTAGCCAGTAGGGCCATTGTCTTAAGAGTGATATCAATAGGATAGTTTGGTGACATTGGTAAGGTATTTACTGTGACAATAGCATTATTCACATAAACCAAGAAGGAAATTTAACAGAAACCAATATTCATGTATCCCTGTTAGTTCTTTTGAATAGAAGGGCAGGAAACTATGGTCTTTATATGATCTTCTGGACTTTCCCTAACACCTTTATATTTAGTATCTTTCTCCATGATTTTTTAGGATATGGGTAGAGCATAGGACTTTGCAATCAAATTTACTTGTGACCCCAGCTCTACAATTACTGACTGTGTGTCTGGATACTTAACTCCTATGTATTGTAGATACCTCGTGTGTACAATACAGGGAATAATACCCTTCTATAGGGCTGGCCCAATGGTTTAATAAACCTTGACAGAGTGGGAAATTCTCATAATTGATAATTATTTCTTATATTTCTCATAAAACTAAGTTAATAAATTAACCAGTCTGAGTCTCAGGCTTCTCATGCCCATAGTTGCATTATAAGTGTAGTACATTGTCAATCATTATATTCCATCTACTACCCTGAATATATAGAATTTACTTAACAAATGTAGCTTCAAAAGGTCTTTCAGAGCTGTACTGGTAGCAAGCAAACAGGTAGTAGAGCTAAGAACACAGACAACCTGAATTCTAATCCTAGCTCTGCTCTTTTCTACTTTTTTGACCTTGTGACCTTGAAATAGAGAAGTCCTGTAACATTTGTGCACTTCATGTTCCTTTTTTTTTTTCTTTTTGGTTTTTCGAGACAGGGTTTCTCTGTATTGTTTTTTTGGAGGCTATCGGTCCAGCCCAGCCTCGAACTCACAGAGATCCGCCTGCCTCTGCCTCCCAAGTGCTGGGATTAAAGGCGTGCACCACCACCGCCCGGCTCATGTTTCTTATCTATGAAATCAAGGTGATATAGTCCTAGTCTGTTGCAATTGCTTTGAGAATTAAACCAATAAAAAACAAACAAAATATATTAAATGTGCTTCAGAAAGTTCCTAACACACTCCTGAAAGAAGATTCTAACCTCAACTTTTAATTTGCACATACACAGATAGATGCACACGTGGACACTCCCACATACGAATGCATGATTTATGCGTTCTCTCATTCATATATGATCACTTCTACCATAGGAGTCTGAGGCTGAACAAGAACATATGATACTTTACTAGATATTGTAGTTAGCTGAAAAATTAGCTATTAGTTGACCAATTATTACCTAATAATTATATTTTATAAGCATAAAGTGGATTTTATCTAATAAAGAAAATTATTTTCCCCTGTTACAGAGTTGATGAATATTATGTCGAAGATACTCCAATTTATGGTAACTTAAATAATATAATCCCAGGTAAGTTTTATTTTTCCCTAGTTAGCCATGTCAAAAAAACCCACGAACAATTTGAGGTGTCATTTTGAAAACAACCACAGTTAGGTAATCTAAAAGCCATAAGTTATAAATACTATATTGCATAGGTTATGTTTGCAAGGGTCACAGTGTACATTGCACTTATCAGTGCAAGCCTGCAGCTCCCATTTTTCTGTGTGCTTCATTTCACTCCTGTAGCAACAACAATACACCACCAGTAGAACAGCAATAGAAGGTTCTATTCCCACGAATTTTGACACAGAGAATTCTATGAAATAAGGCCATTTCTAGAACAGAATATGATCCACTGATACAGCATTTTGTGATCCGTATGTATAAGGCTGTGTACAGGCTTAATGGCCAAACCAATGAACACTTTCTCTTGTTTCCTGTGTTTTAGCCTGTTCTCTCTAAGTGGAGAACCTGGGGCTGGATTGATAGCAAGTGGGGAGAGAGCAAAACCAAGTCATCGCTAAGTGGTTTGTGCTTTTATTCTTCTGCAAGTGCTCGTCACTTGAACCTTCTCTCCAAACAAAACACTCTAAAGTCCTCAGAGCAAGCAGCTGTGATCTGATTCCATGGCTGATGAGAGAAGCTGCCACTCCTCTATGAGCCGTCCCTCTGTTCATGAGCAGAGTCCCTGAGTTTATTCTGCTTGCAGATCTGTCTCCAACACAAAGGTTTTCTGTGATCTAAACACACCATAATATCTACATACCCAAAGCAATATAGCACTATAAAGTTAGAGATGTGGGAATTACATAATGATTGAAAGATTTAACTATCTTTCTTTCCATTATTAAAATCTTCTAACTTCTGCACTGTAATATGCCAGAAATAATATATTAAAATATGTCCCTTCTGGACCTGGAACTGACTTGTGAAGCAACCTTGTTTCTTATCTAAATTTAAACTGAAAAATTTTTTAAAATGTCAAAAAAAGAGAAGACACTGCAAAAAATGTCCCTTCTGTTTCATGTGGCAGAATTATGATCTCATACCTCATATTTAAATCCTTATAAATTCTGATGGTCCAGAGCCCATCATATCTATACTTCTAAAATAAAATATGCCAGGGGTTTATTCCCGGATTCCGACTGCTCTGGATTGGGTTTAGAAATCTGCTACTTAACAAGCAAGTACAAGATTCTGATTCTAGTATTCCATGGATCATGATTTGAGAAACACCACTCTATGGTGTGTTTCCCATGTTGTATTTCAGATAGGTATAAAGATTATTAGGTACCTTTTGGTACAGTAAATAAATCTTCTTCCCTGAGGTAAATTGATGCATTGTACATTTTGGCCAGGTAACTAGCCACCCTAAGTAGTCATGTATTTGGAATAATAAAGATACAGAATAGGATGGCTTACTAGCATGAAGAATGTAGTGGGTACGTGTCTGTAGGCTTTTAGACACTGCACAAAAGTTCCTTAGAAAAGTAATGGACAATCATAAGGGTTTAAGACAGTCCCAGCTGACTGAGATGCCTCTGAATGATGGGACACAAATCAGAATCTAAGCTACTTTATTCAAAATTAGAATGATGTATTTTAAGTGTTTCTGGAATGAATTTCAAAACTTTAATCAATGATGGACTTTGCAAGCACCATGCTTTATGCCATGGTGCACATGTGCAGTCACACCCATGTAGTACATAACACAGGCAGCCCTTTAACTCCATTAGATCTCTAGATCATTTTAAACAGTAGTCTAGATGAGACTTACACATGCTACTGTGGTACCGAAAATCCTTGGGATACAGTCTACATCTTGAGCTTCTTATTGTCTGTCAATAATATTGTGGGCACGACTTCTGTGTCACATCTGCAGGTTAACAGTTTGTGCTTCCGTAACTTCTTTGCATGTCTATCTAAGAGACTACTTAAATAATTCTTGAGGCTATGTATTCTTAGCTAAATATTGTTTGGATCATACATTTTATTTATACCAGCACTTTTCATTTTTCCACGGAAATCTCCATCACCTCTACTCCCAAGAACCAAAGGACGAGGACTGCTATGAACAAATGAAAGCCAGACCACAAAAATCTGCAGGTGACATGCAGGAAGCCACTGCGTCTGCACAGGTGAAGTTTTCTGTGCATGTGAAGTTGTCTAGTTCAAAGCCCCTGGATATGTTTCAAGAGCACAAAGAGTGTTTTCTGATACGTATTTGGAGCAGCCTGTTAAAATTTGTTGCAGCAACTATCACACGTCAAGTTCTGAGAAGAGCTCTACAGGGAGATACAGAAGTGAGAGCAAATCTCAAACATAACCAGAAGACTCAAAATTAGGCATAGTTCAAGGAACAATAGACCCTATCTGTGCATGCATGCATACACATATATACATGTACAGCAACAGATTTGCATAGTGCTCTGAAACCATCAAAAAGTTCTGTTAAAGTTTTATTCTTTTGTCTCCAAAATCTATTCTCTTATATCTTTTCACTACTGCCTAGACTAATTATGGGGATGACAGTTTCTGGGTAATCATGTAGGTTTTGTTTCATGTGTCCCATATGCATTCCCTGCTTAGAGGAGGCATGAAGGAGACAGCATTAAAATTCCCATTTTATAAAAACTTACAAAGAAAGAAAAGCTTATCCTGGAGCACCCAGACACTGTGAGAAGACACAATATTCTTATTCTAAAATAAGTCACAGTTTGGGAATTTCCCATTGTGGTAGAATTTTTTTCCTTTTCATGACACGAATTTTGTAAAAAAAAATCAAAGTTCTTAACAATTTTATTAAGAAATAAAAATGTAATGGTATCTAAGGGGAAAAAGACACCAGATATGATAAAGCACGTGGGGGACCTTGGTAGATTCCATGGCAGGCAAGGGTGACTGAGGCAGAGAGACAAACATTCCAGATACACGGAGCTTAGTGAGAAGTTTTACTAGAAAGGGAAAGTCTGGGGAAGAGGTAAATAGACACAGAGAGAACAGAAGAGAAGAGGGAGACAGGAAAAGTCCTGTCTGCTCCAGGGGAACAGCGGGAAAGAGAGAGAGGAAGAGGGGGAGAGCAAAAAGAGTGTTGGTGGGCAGAGGTCTTTCTTTTTAAAGGGGTCCTTTGCCCCTGCATGCAGACTAGTGGTCATGGAACCCTGGGCTGACCAGGGTACTGCCTGAGTGCATTCTGCCAGGTGACAGGGGTAGACCAGCATAACAACATATACAATCAGATATTTGGTTAATTATAAAATATGCTTTTGGAACTGGAGAGATGCCTCAGTGGTTAAGAACACTTGTTTTATGTAAGACTGGGGTTCAGTCCCTAGAACCCACACTTAACAGTCAACAATCACCGGTAATTTAAGCTCCAGGGGATCTGACATCCTCTTTGCATGCTGTAGGCTTATGTACACACACACACACACACACACACACACACACACATACACACATACACGTGCAGACACATATACACATAAAACACTTTAATTTTATTAATTAGGAAAAACTACATGACACAATATCTCCTGTTAAATGCATGACAATAAAAGAAGAACTTCGGAAGGAGATTAAGGTGTAATTACACCATCCATAAATATAGAGACCTACACCATTGTAGCTGTAAATATACCAAGAATTGTGAATATAAACTATGAGTAAGCACATGGGAATTGCATGGGTATCTTTGTTTGAGCTGCATCTGGTTTTTACTCAAGTGGAAATGATATGAAGTCATGTAACATCTTGAACCCACTCTTTCATGAATTATTTATTTAAAGATAGTATTCAGAAAACTAGTCTCTATTCTACTATGTTCTTATAAATCTAGTGTCACACATTGGAAGTCATCTTAGTCACTTTATCAACATAGTCACGACCTGCCCCATTTGCTACCCTAATACTCATGCACTGATTGGTCACAGACCCACAGGAAATCTGCAACAACATGCATATGCTGAAGGAAGAAAGTGTTTGCTAAAAAACATATGGGTCATTTCTTTGCCCTTTGAAAACGATGTGTGTGGTTCAGAGACTGTAATTTGAGTATTTTGATCTACCATCAAAAAATTAAGTCTTAAGAGTTCTTCAGAAAACCTAGAAATAAGATTATTCCACAAGTATTCCCATATCCTATAAGTAAGGATATACACATGGGATGTTCCTTTTATTTATTTGTTGATCTTGGATCAATGTCCTTACTCTATCGAGAGCATGCTCCTCCTTCTAAGACCAACACTAATTATGTTCTACACTATTTATCCCGAGTCCTTCAGGATCTTACAACTTACTAATTTTCTTTTTCTTTCTGGATATGACCATGATCCTTTGCCTAGCATATATGCAAATGATCTCTATTAAAACAAAACAAAATAAACAGAACAACAAAAACTTCCTTTGCTCTCTTTTTCCCTCTGATTTCTGAACTAGGTGGAAATTGGGTGCATTCTTCCCATCCCCTGTGGTTTGTGTTTCTTTCTAGTGAAGCACATTCCTTATCCTTTCCTCTATGCACCACCAATTCTCTCAACTAAGCCAGCACACTGGGAGTCTGAAGTGAATATTTAATGTACAGCCATGGTCCTTTCTTGGGACTCATATTGTTTTACCCTGGCACTACCTGATAAAATGCAGTATTATTGCCACATATCATTTGAAGTAATTCTCTATAATTGCAGAAATCAAATTCCAACCACTTTTGTACTAAAGGGACATTATTGCCTCATATGATAGACAGAGATAAGAATGCATTTTGCTTTTGATATGATTGCATAGAGAAGCACTCCTCATTCTCTTCTCTGTGCTTCTTTCTCTCCTGTTATCAGCAGACTCCTCAAGTGAGGCTGGACAAGTCACTGAGGGCTTGCACATTTTTCTTTTCAACTCAAGGGAAAAGATACCTTTTCTATTCTTCATAATAAATATCAGCTTTAAAATGCCACCAAATATGCCCATTCCTGAGCCACTCTCTTGGGCCCTGTTGCCAAGAAGATTGGAGACAATAGGTGCTTGGTTCAGCATAGGTCAGTTGCTTAGTCTTGCTGACCTTGGGTAAGCAATCCAAGTCCCTAGAACAGGGTAGGGCAGAATCTGCCAAAGAAGATAAGAGAGTTCAACAAATTCCCAAAAGACCAACAAATAACCACTGCTCTGTGGTCCTAAGTGAACTTTGACAGCTTTTCAGCAGTCTAACGAATTTTGAGGCAGATGACAATACTAAATATGTGCAACAGTTAATTTCCAAGTTTGCTAGATAGAGAGCAGAGGAGGGGAGTACTGAGCAACAAATAGAAAACCTTGAAGGGCAGGACATGAAATCCAGTCTTTAGTCCATAGGCTGTGATTCTGAAGGACAGATAGTAAAATACAAGGGCTGTAGCTTACAATGAAAATTTGAAACAGTATATGGCATGAATGTAGAGGGAAAAGATGAAAATGTCAGTTAGACAGATACTGCAGTTCTGTGAAAAATGATTAAACAATAGCAAGTCTGATAAAGAAACTAAAGAGCATATAAATGGAGCCATCTCTTCTGCCTGAAACAAAACCCAAGACATTTACTTTATACCAATAGGAAGATACTTGCCCAGGTATGGGAAGTTTTTTCACCCAAATGTTACTTCCTTAATGTCTGGTCCCACTGATAGATATGATTTTTGCCTGGTCTTAGAAGAAAATCCTGAACATAGATAGATACACTAATCATAATATCATCTGCTATTAAACAACTACAGCTTCAGTAGGAATTTTCTCTGTTTACCAATCATGTCAACACTGTGAGAGAAATACTACCACTTTCATTTGAAAAGCAAGAATACTGAGACTCAGTATGGTTTTCAAGAAGCTGCCTAAGCCCATGTTGCCCAAGGTGTACATAATACAACTGAGACTTAATGGGGAGTTTCCAACAATGCATTCAAGATCTGGGCTTCAGACCTTGTTTTCCCCATGTTACCTTAGTCTACTATCCCCACTGTTACATTGACCCAGCTCTAGGACAGAAGCTTCCATTCTGTCTTAGATGTCAGTTGTGCAAGGAGATCTGTTTGCTTTATTCTTACGAATCTTTAAAAGTGTAAAGAGGCAGAGGAAGGATTTGTGGGTCCCTTTAAGTCACTAAATTACCATTTATTAAGCATATGTAAAGCACATCTTATATTTGTTAAATTCCTCCCTATCACATGTGTTTTCCCTCCTAAACAAATGAAGGTACAGTTTCTTGGTAGACATGATGTAAGGTAGTAACTGTTGGGGTAAAGGTGAGGATAGAAGCAGGTGAGAAATGGTTTAATGTGTTCGTATAAATTTTGAGTATGGGGAAAGCAATCCATGAAGCTTCATCTAAATACTTTTCTTTTTCAACTCAAAAGTTGTACTAACTATTGATTGGTTGTTGTCATCTTTAACTGTCAACTTTGAAAAAATAAGGTAACTAAAGGCAGAAAATAATTTTTTTTCTCATAGGCCATGGAAATTCATAGAAGTCTTGGGAAGTAAAGAATAACTAATATACTTTTCTTTTCAGGTACCTGTTGAAAATCAGATGTGCTATGCCACACTGGATCACAGCTTCAAGGGGAAACGCAGAAGGCCCAGGAAACAGAATGCTAATTTTTCCGACAGGGAGGAGGATGCACAAGTTTGTGCAATGGATGCCAACATTACTCAGATCAATTCTGTAGCAAGTTTCCCACCAGATAACCAGGCGGTAGAGGAAAGTGTTCATGATGATCCTGCAAGACTGTTTGGATTGATCCGTGCCAAGAGAGAGCCTGCAGTCTAGCTGGATGATGACCCAGCTCACTGATAATGCCCCTATCAGAGATGGTTAAGAAAACAGGATCCTCATGTGACGAACAATGACTGGCAGGATAACAGTCTGCTTATTCGTCGATGGGATGGTATCTTCCTTTTTCTCCAGAAATTGTACCTCCACACACTAAACCTAATACCATTAAAATTAGCTACATGAATTCAGTTTAATAATACCCAAGTAGAAAAAGTAAAACAAGAAAATCCAGTTTACAAATTAAATTACTTGATAACAAAGTCAAAATATATAGTAATACCTAGGAATTTTTAAAAAATGTAAAGTGCATATGTGCCCTAGAACATGTTGAATGGAAGATAAAAGCCAATGACTTAAAATATTAATCAAACATTTCCTCTTTCATCAATGTGAAATAATTAGAAGTTTCAATAATTTCTAATAATTGAATGTACATTGCAAAGAAAAGCAGAATAATCTTGAGGAGTATTTTTCCAAGATGTAAATAGCAAAATTAGTTTTAAAATTACTATAAAAATAAATACATGCTCCTTACAACAATACAAAAAAAGCTTAGAAATTCTACTGCCAGAGATAATTAATATGAATAACTTTCTGCATGCATTTGAGGATATTTTACTGGACATAACCAGGTATATATACCAGTTGTTCCTTCTTTCTTTTTTAACTTAAAAGTAGAGGATTACAGATGTTATTTAAATTTTCTTCATGTATCAAGATACTATGGCTTTATTTCTATTACATTTAACTATATCAAATATATTGTTTTGTCTTTGGTGATGCTGGGGAACAAACATAGGATCTTTCACATGAAAGGCAAGTGTTCTACCACTGAGCTTCCTCCCAAGTTCTATCTCATAACTTTAATGCCTTCATTGTATCTCGTTCATGATTAAATCAGAGTCTGTCTAAATAATTCTGTAGACTACTTAAATTCATTCAAGTTTCTATTTTATGTGTTCATAAATAATATTTTAATGAGGATATTCCAAGACATATCTGGGTACTTCTCTAGTTTCTTCTTTGTGTTAAGTGCCTGAAAGGAAATTAAATATTTAAAGAGATGTGTTCATATTATTAATCTCCAGGAGACAGATCTCCAAAAGGCCAGAATTCCGGTCAAAAATACACATACAGTTTAAATTCTAGAGGATTATCCCACATTGTCTCCTAAACAGTTAACTCAGTAAATTCCAGCTTAGGGTGAAGATGCTCAGCTGTGATCACAGTATGCAGGAGATGGAGGCAGGAAGAGCCCTATGATTTCCAGGCCTTCTGGTCCTGAGGAGAGAATTTCTTATCATCTTGAGCTAAAAGTGAAAACATGTTTCAAAAAAGAAAACTATCAGAAATAAAATAACTTCTGCTGTCCTCCTTTGAGAAAGGAAGCTTATTGGTAGTTTATAATAAGCATATTTAACTTATCATTATATGTATTTTAAAAGGCTACTTCGGCAGAGTAACTTGTGTTGTTTTTTTGTTGTTGTTGTTTTCTTTATGGCTGTTTTTGATATAGTTATATAATTGCCCTTTCCCTTTTCTAAAACCTTCCCATGTGTTCCTTCTTGCTTTCTGTCAGTGACCTCTTTTTCTTTAATTGTTGTTACATATATGTATTGTATAATGGGAAAGTGCTATGTGGAGAAGACCATTTCTCCTACTCTGTACATTCCCCAGATGCTGATAGTTCTTTGTCTAGAGTTGAGGTCCTGCAAGCTTTTGCTCCCTCCATGTTGGTATGTCCATTGGCATCCTCATTGTTCAGATCTTGTTTAGCTAGTTATGTTGAGGAGACTTCATAGGTGGAGACTCTCTGATGTCACACACTTTTATTTAAATTACCATTTAAAAATTAAAATAATAAAAAGTGCGTTCATAATTTTCCATGTAATTAGAATGTCTAGACTTCTGCCATTCTTTGTATCAATGCAGAATTCTGTCTGGTACCCTACATTCCAGCTTAAAGGACTTCTTGAGCTATTTTTGCAGTCCAGGCCAATGAGTGAAAAAGCTTCCTCCGCATGTTGTGCATCTGAAAAAGGCCATTGTTTAAATCTTTAGAGATATTGTCTCTGGGTAAATAAGTCCCAAGGTTGGGTTGACTATGCTTCTTTGAACAATCTGTACTGTTCCTTGTTTGGGCACATGGATGCCATCCAAAAATTTCCTTATACCCTTGGTTTTAAACTGTGTGGCTTCCCAAATCAAAGCTGCTGGGTTTGAAATATCATTTTGAGTATAATTTTCTTTCAAGGTTAAATCATCCTTCTAGATTTGACAAGCAGAACAAACAGTACGTGTCCCCATCTGAACACATGGATTTATTTCTCACCTAATAAATAGTGAATTTCAATGGGAGACTCTCCTGAATAACAGCGTTGATGGGGAAGTGTGCACTCACAGACTTCATCATGGAGACCCACTGTGATAAACTTGTGAACATGCTGTGAACCTGACTATAGACAGTTCAGGCAGGGGGCCAGTTCCTTTCTGCTTCCCTACCATTTGTCAACCTGGAACCGGTCTCTTTCTTTTCAAGGAGACTCACCTCTACACTGATTTGGTTAGTCTTTCCAGAGGGTTCCTCTGGGGCCCTTCACGGTACCTGTGTTCCCCCTCAGAGTAATGTCAGCGTTTTCTGAAACATTGACAGTCTGACTGTTGAGAATGGTCTTCATTCTCATAGTAGGTGTGGCAAAAAAGGAGCTTTCTGCTGAAAGATAATATTTTTATTCAGTAAGAGATACTGTGAATTGTATTTTACTTAATGATGGTTATTTTTAAACTATTTTGAACATTTTTTATAAAGTCAAGTTATTTGACCATAATTTGATCCTTTCTATTAACTGTTTAGTTATCACACAGAGTAACGAGTTTTTCTATGACATTGTGTGTGTGTGTGTGTGTGTGTATGTATGCTTGCATGCCTGTGTGATTATACTTTGCTCTAATTTATTCCTTCCCCCTACTACCTTACTCTATATCACCTACCCACTGTGGTTTGATTCTCTTCCTTCCCCTAGATAGTTCCCTTTTCTGTTTACATGTTACATGTGTGCCATTACCATCTTTCCCCTGACTTCCTTAGAAATTCTTACTTCATGACCTTCACACACACACACACACACAGAGCCACATGAATATATGATTATAAATCTAGATTCTGCATAATAGAAAAAGCATGCAGCATTTTTCTGAGTTTGGTTTATCTTGCCTAATGATTCTTGCAAATGTCATGATTTCATTTTCCTTTGTGACATAAAACTCTGTATATGTACCACATTTTCATTTGTTTATGGACAAGTAGGCTGGCTCCATTTCCTGTGTACTGTGAATGATCTGGCATTAAACATGGATTCACAAGTATCTCTAAGGTATAATGATGTAGCATCCTTTGGGTATATCCCCCTGAGAGAAATAGCTGTCTCATATGTTAGTTCCAATTTTAATTTTTTATAACATCTATACTGATTTCCATAATGGATACACAAGTTTACAGGCCTACCAGAGTGAAGATTGTCTCTAGTATTTGAGGCCATTTGTTTTCTTGATGATAGCCATTCCAATCAGAGTGAAATGGATTCTCAAGGCAGTTTTCATTTGCATTTTCCTCACAGGTAAGATGAATATTTATTGTCCATTTTCATTTCTCCTTTTGAGGACTGTCTATTCAGTTCACTACTCCATCGTTACCTAGATGATTTCATTTTTTATTAACTTGTTTGCAGTTCTTTGTATATTCTGGATATTAATCGCTTCTCTCATATGTGGTTGGCAAAGACCATTTCCTACCCACTTCAGGTAGAAGGTTATTTCCTTTACCATGCAGAAACTTGTAGCATCATCTACTCCCATCACTTAATTCTTATTTCCTGCCCTGTGTTCTTGCCTATGCCTCTATCTGAAGGTGTTTTGTTTATTTTGAAGTTTCAGGTCTTACAATAAGTTCTTTGATCCACTTTGAATTTATTGTCATATAGTGTGAGAGATAGATATCTATGTGTGTAAATTCAGTTTTCCCAGTTTAGAGAGTCTCTTTCTTCTTTCTTTCTTTAACCTTTGTCCAGAATGATGTGGCTATAGCTGTGAGGGTTTATTTACAAGTCCTCTATTCCATTCTATTATCTATGTCTGATTTTGTGCCAGGACCATACTGCTTTGTTACTGTGGCTCTGTAATATACTCTAAAATCAGGTATTGTGATATCTCTAGTATTGTTCTTTCTGCTAAGGATGTCTACCTATTTGGGTTTTGTGCTTCCACGTGTATAACAGAATTGTTTTCTGTTTTTGTTGTTCTTTTTTGCTGTTGTTCTGTGAAGAATGACATTGAAATTCTGATAGAGATTGTGTTTGATATGAAAGACAGTTTTTGGCAATATAACTCTTCTCACAATATTAATTCTGTAAAGTCATGATCAAGGACTGTCTTTCCATCTTCTGGTGTCTTTTAAATTTCTGCCTTTGGTGTCTTAAAGCTTTTATTGTAGAGGTCTTTTACATGGTTACCATGGGAAACCAAGATTATGGCAATAGCCTATGTTGTTTTGGAGTCTTCTGGAACATCCCTGAACAAGAATTTGTAGAAAGACCATTTTCTTATTTGCATTTTGTGGTTAGTATTCAGTATTTGAGAAATATCCTTTACATATCTCTAGGACTTACACTATACACTCTCTCATACAACATTTTTCCATTTTGACATGTTTCCTTATTTCTCATGATGCTTAAGCTTCCTCCAACTATGAAAATATCTAAAAACATACCCTAGACAATAATGTAGAAACATGGTTCAAAGTTTTTGTTTTCCATATTCCTGGATCATTGTCCTTCATTGCTTAATGTTCAACACCTTAAGTTCCATTGATTTACTTATTTTGTCTGGAGTTTAGCTCTTCATCTAAAATAGATGGCAAGTTTTATATGTTATTTCATCTTCACAACAAGATGCCAAAGCACTCACGTCACATTACTGTAATTCTACAGTATACATATATTTTAGTCTCGTTCTTGGGCATGATGATAAGCTTTGAGTCAGTAGTCGTCAGGCAATAATTAGGGGACTACTTCACCTGGGAAAGCTTGAAGAATTTATATTCCAAAAGGAGTATCATTGTAAATGCTCCCATTTCTGCTGAAATGTACAGAGAAAGGCAAAGAGAAAATCAACAGAAGGAAACAGATGACTTTTTAAACATTTGAGTTTCTCACTGATGTTGCTGGAGAACCTTTTCTTGGGGTGACACAATATACACATCTAGTTACCTCAAATAGTGAGCCAATGACAAACCAAAGTGACGATTGTAGGAAAAGGCCAACTTGCAGAACCAGTGAGTTCTTGTTAGGTTACAGTTTCATCACTGTAAAGCCCAGCAGAACATGGATGAAGTCTCTCAGAAGCTGCAGCACTAAGCTCTGTGCATGACTCGCAGGCAGCTAACTGGGTTCAATTTCTTCTCAGCCACTGACTGGGTTGAGTCCTCTTCCTGGCTGTTCTTTAGTGCTTCATAAGTCTGGGGAGGGGCTTTCCTGGCTCTTGCCAGGCTCAGCTTTCCTAGGCTTCTACTATCAGTTTACTTCCTGAGCCTCATGCGTCTACTCCCTCCCCACTGGAGGGAGTGTTTCAGTTCAAAGGAAGTTGCTATACATTAACTGATACTATCTTAAAAGAAGAAAAAAAGAGTCCAACTCAAATATCAGTTGTTTATTTCCTTGAAGTATTTAATAGCTTATTTCTGGGAGAATAAAGGCAGAGGGATTAATTTAGGCACATAGTTTAAGTCTTTCTCTGTGAAGTTTTGTTTTCATTTGATTAATAAGACAGGCAACTTATATTAAGACATACAAAGCAGAGAAGATGAAAATTTAGAGGCAGGAGATCTAGAATGTAAATTTAGTGAGGTATGTTCTCCTGAATTGTTTATAATTGTTTTAATCTCTATGGTGATTTGGATCAGAAATGTCCCTCATAGGATCAGATATTTGAACCCTTGATTCCAGTTGGTGGCACTGTTTAAAGGCTGGGGAATAATGGGAACTTCAAGAGGTGAGGCCTTGATGGAGGAAATATTTCTGAGAACAATTTCACTTTCTGGATATTTAGTTACCAAATTGCTATTGATCTGCCATAATTCACAGAAATCCAGCAGGCTTTGGAAGACAAGACTCCAGCAGAAATGTTAATAATGGACTCATCTCTCATGAGGTATGGAGAGTACCAGTGGCTGGGGAAATGGCTCAGTCTGTGAACTGATTGCCTGGCAAGCATGAAGACCTACCTGGGCTCACTCACTAGAACCACATGAAAGAGCTTGGCGTGATAGTGAGTACTTGTATTCCCAGGGATGGGGAGATAGATAAGGGAGCTGGTGGCCAGCTGGTCTAACCTAATCAACAGATGAAGAAATCCTATTTCAAAAACAAAGCAAACAAAACAAAACCCAAACAACAAAATAAAAAACAAATAAAAAATGTGCCTGGTAACATAGGAGGAACAACACCAGAGGCTGACCTCTGGCCTCCACACATGCACACATACATTTACAAACAAAAAGGGGTCAGGGATATAGGTTTTAGCTGGGAGGCAGGAGCTGTAGGGTTTGGGAGAGGAAATGCTTGCTATCTGGTAGGCATGTGCATCTTCCCTGCTAAGTTGCTGTCCAATACTCATTTTCTGAATGTTCCATTACCTTAGGAAAGATGTAATCCTACCTGTAACTATTGACAGCTCTTTCTTTCACAAAATTTGCCATTCTGTGATAATGACACATTCTGCATTGGATAACCAGAATGTGTCCAAGATTAATGCCACATATGCCTCCTTTCACTATTAATATGGAAAATCCTACTCACTCCTTATTCTACATCTGCAAATACAAATGAATTCTTGGGCCTGATTTTTATTCACCTTTTCATGCTTAGTTACAGAATTTCCCAAGCCGGGGCTTAAAAAAAAAAAAAGAAAGTCTTCACAATTAACAAAGGAATCTAAGAAAGCTGGAGTGATGTCCCCACTCTCCTTAACTTAGAAGATAAAGCTTTCTGCATCGTGAAACAGATTCAGATGGTCTGATTTGCTAAGGTTTTAAATTGAGAACGTTCACAAGAATATCAATCTTGTTTCCTGCACAACAAGGAGACCCGTGTGAATATTCATAACCACTGCCAGCTCCTTCCTGTCTCTTTGCTAATATAAATTTGTCCTTGGAAGTCTCAAAGACTTACAAGACTCAAGATTCTTGCCATTCCCCCTGATAAAACCCAGGGAAGTATGCAGTTCTTTCTGCTTATCTTACTAGACCTGACATTATTATTATAATTGACCCATTGCTCTTAGACAATATAAATACTTGCA